AAGAAGAAGAAGAAGAAGAAGAAGAAGAAGAAGAAGAAGAAGAAGAAGAAGAAGAAGAAGAAGAAGAAAGAAAAAAGAAACAATAACTAATTTAGATGCCTTAATTCTGCTATCATGTAACCTGGAGAAAAACATAGATTTCTTTGGGTTTGATTGCTCTGATTACTAAGAAACAAATTTAAAGAAACTTTATTAATTACCTTTTGACTGGGCAGGGGTCGCACACACCTTTTATCCCAGCACTTGGGAGGCAGAGGCAGGTGGATCTCTGTGAGTCTGAAGCCAGCCTGGTCTACAGAGGGAGCACCAGGACAGTCAGAGCTGTTACATAGAGAAACTCTGTCTTGAAAAACAAAACAAAATAAAACTGTGGAGAGAGATCCTTATTGTGGAATATTGGTTTATGCTGTGAAGATGTGTCTTTGCCAAGGTGTCTTCTGATTGGTTTAATAAAGAACTGAATGGCAAACAGCAAAGCAGGAAAAGGTTAGACAGAACTTCTGAGGACAGAGAGGAGTCAAGAGACAGACATGGAGAAAGCAGAATGGACAGCATGGAGATGAGATAACAAACCTCGTGGAAGAACATAGATTAAAAAATATGGGTTAGTTAGGCGGAGGTGACCCACACCTTTAACCCCATCACTCGGGAGGCAGAGGCAGACAGATCTCTGTGAGTTCGAGGTCAGCCTGGTCTACAGAATGAGTTCCAGGACAGGCTGCAAAGCTACATAGAGAAATTCTATTTTGAAAAACCCCCCAAAAAGGGGGGGGTTTAATTTAAATTATATGAAGTAGTTAGGCACAAGTCTAAAGTAAGGCTGAGCTTTCACAATTTATAATAAGGCTCTAGGTCGTTATTTGTGAGTTGATGGCCCAAAGAAAAATCTGACTACATTTGTCACCCAACATGGGCCATGTACACAGCGCATAACTGCTGTCAGGTACAGAAACACAGAAACACAGCTCATTTAAAAGGCCTGGCTCGTAGTCAGGCAGGGGTGGTGTATATCTTTAATCCCAACACTCAGGGGGCAGAGACAGGTGGCTCTCTGTGAGTTCAAGGCCAGTCTGATTTACAGGGCTACTTCCAGGACAACTAGGACTGTTACACAGAGAAACCCTGTCTTGAAAAACCAGAGAGAGAGAGAGAGAGAGAGAGAGAGAGAGATCAGGAGGCTGGGTCAGAGGCACTGCTGTGAGCAGCTGATTCACTACACCACAGCAGGAAGCCAGATACAAAGGCTGCAGGGAGACACCGGTGCCCTAAGGCAAAGCCGTGGCAGAGGGCCAGGCAAACAGTTTAGGATTCTCTGATGTGGTCAGAGAATGCTGCAGGAACGCAGTGAAGTCAGATCCAGACTGAGAAAAGCTCTAAACAGATATAGGGTGCTTTAAAATGTACTTAGATGCTGAAGCAAAGAAAATGAGTACAGATAGTCATAGAAAAATAAATAGTTCAAAAATTATAAACCAGGTAGCCTTTCATAATTAATAATAAGTTCCTGGGTAATCATTTGTGGGCTAGGGGTCCTGACAAGAAAGTGCTGATACAAATCCTGTCTTAAAAAACAACAACAACAACAACAAAAATTACCTTCTGGAGCAAGTCTTCATATGCCTGAAAGAAATAAGTAAGTATTATTTCACTAAATCACCAATTTCATGAGAAAATTTGACATCTCTATAAGGTATAGTTGACTGTGGTATCCCATGCCTTGAATCCCAGCACCTGGGAGGCAGAGGCAAGTGGATCTCTATGAGTTTGAGTCCAGCTTGGTCTACAGAGCAAGTTCAAAGCCCACCAGGGTGACACAATGAGACCTTATTTCAGAAGGAGAGAAGGGAAAAGAGAAGATACTCCATGCCTCGGGGAGCACCCAGGTCTTGGACAGTGCTGACTGCGGGAAGGTCCAACCACGGAGACTGGTGCCACCAGATCTACTCACCTAAAGCGGGAGGCCAGAAGCCACCACCCATTTCTCCGTTGCCCTCACTCTCTCTCCTTTTGGGGACAGAACTCATTATTCTGTTTTCTGGATTTATCAAAGTAAGATCCCTTTCTCTGCAATATTCTCTCCCACTGGGTCCTCAACTAGTCTGCATAGCTCTCCTGTCCTGGACTTGTACAGGATTTCTGTGTCTGCAGTCTGTATCATCCATTCTGGCCTTATTCCGTTCTCCTGTAGTTTTGTATATACTCATTCATTTATTTATTTCATTACATTGGGGTTTTGGTTGCATGTATGTCTTCGTGAGGGTGTTGGATCCCCTGGAACATGTGGATGCTGGTAATGAACCCAAGTCATTTGGAAGAGCAGTCAATGCTGCTCTTAACTGCTGAGCCATCTCTCCAGCCCCAATATTTTCTCTTCAGATTTAGTTATTTTATGAGTATGTGTGTTTCACCTGCATGTATTTATGTGCGCCACGTATGTGCCTGGTTCCTGCAGAGGTCAGAAGAGGGCATCACATCCCTTGGACCTAGAGTTAGAGACAGTAAGCCTCCATGTGGGTGCCAGGAATCAAACCTGGATCCTCTGCAGAACAAGAGAAGTTCTTTTAACCTCTGAGTCATCTCTCGAGCCCCCTTCCCTGGTTTTGATTGGTTTGTTTAGTTTTCGTTTGTTTTTTGAGACAGGCTTCACATAGCGCAGGCTGGCCACAGACTTGCCATGTTGTTGATGAGCGCCTTGAGCTACATCTGAAGGTTTCAGGACAGTATAGCGTCTCCTACAGCACCTACATTCGCCACCTGTAACTGGTAACCACTGGTACTTCATAACCTTTTTCCTAAAGATATTCTCTATTGTAAAACCTGTAACTGGTAACTACTGGTACTTTGTAATCTTTTTCCTAATGATATTCTCTATCATGTACTAAAATGAATTTCAAATATCATGCTTTTCAAGGCTTTGAGATCTTTTGGAGAGAAGTTGAGCTTATGACCAGCTTGTTCAAAACCCATCTCCAACTGTGCACTGTCTACATGCTGAAGCCTAACAGACAGGTTCTAGGACCTTCAGTGTGTGCATTCACTTAACAGACAGGTTCTAGGACCTGACCTTCAGTGTGTCCGCATTCAGCTCCCTAACTCATAGAGATCCACCTGCCTCTGCCTTCCCAGTGCTGAGATTACTGGCTGTGGTGAGTGCATCACCACAGCCTGGCTAGGTTTTTTTTTTTTTTGAAGTATCCCCCTCTCTCCCCTTTTTGCAGTACTAGGGAATGAATCTAAGGCTCCATGCAAGAACTAATTGACTTTCCCCTCTCTAAAAAGCACACCTGATTATAGCAGCTCACCTCTTGAACTTGTGTTAATTGGGCTTCTGTGGCTGCTAGTGAGGCGTTCTTTTCATATAAGAGCTTCTTAAGCCGAATCAGCTCCACGTTCTCCTTAATGGAAGCTCTGTAAACAGAAGACACTGAACTGTTCCATTGGGGACCCAGTACCTCCTGCCGTTGCCTCTTCAGTTTCCCCAGAACACAGCGGAAATTGAAACACA